CCAGCGTCAATAATTAACTGAATATTTCCTTTTATACTTTTTAGCACGTAGCTATTTATTATTAGCATTATTCTTCCGACGTCTGATATCTGTTTAATTATAGGAAATACGTTTTTCTAAGGTACATAAACTTTTGGGATTGACTGTATAGCCAATACATCGTTAACCATTGACGTATCGCCGCTGCCGATGAATGCGAAAATCGATCAGTCGGACATAACCGAAGTTCACTAGTAGTTCCGTGCGTGAGATAGTACAGTGCTATTGTCGTTTTGGAAATTTCATTAATCTCGAAGATCAGATTTGTAACATTTAAGAAATGTAATCCAGATAGAACTTTCATTCGCGTAGTTTTTTGTATCCCAAATATTTTTTCATATTATGCGCATTCTTTATATTTTCAATTTTTGCATAAATGCATACAAAGTGCAGTTTACGCGTTTGTGTGTCGAACTTGCGGAATAATTAATCATCTTGTGACTCGCACGGGAATGTTGTGTACTTTTTCCAATCTTACGAGGCGTTTTCGAAAGATATAGTCGACAGCATTCACATTAACATATTCGTAGCGTTCAAATCGAAGTTGGAAAGGTGAGGATTATTTGATGAGTAAGGGAATTTGAGATGGTTTTTACATTAACTAAACACTGCAAGTGGTGTTCGAGACAGGAGCATTGCGAATACTCTTGTGTCTGTGAAGTACCATCTTAAACTGTCGTATTTTATAAACGTCGTCGCGTAACATTCGTCTCCGCTTGCAACCACGCGCTGTCTTCCAACTTCGAGCGCATCCGGTTGCGCGCCGTAGTAGTGGCTCGGCTTATTATTCTTCCCTGTTGGAGGAGCCGCGCGCGGTTTAGAGAGAAAATGTAGGAGAGCTCCCCTAGGCAGGCGAACAGGTTACGTGGGCGAATGTATACCGAAGATGGAATCGGCGTGCCTAGGCAAACAATTCAACTTATCTCATGAATCAACGTTTGATCGTTGGGAACGAGTTTCGTTCGGCCACCGGTCTGATCGCTAAGGAAAAGACGAAAACAGGAACGTTGCTTGAGAAAGTAAACGTCCGCGTGGTTAGCAAGCTGGTGCTAAACCACCCGCGACACGAGTATTCGATTAACCTCGTGAACCCTGTCCACCGTTGGGAAAAAATCGCGAATATCTTCTTCGCATTTGGATTTCGCTATTCTCGATTCTAATCGTACTAATTCTATTGTTCACCTTTAAAAAATAAATTTAGAAATAATTCTCCTTGTACGATTCAATGCTTATTAGTCAACAGGCCAACGTCTAATTAATTTAACTGTTTTCTTTCGATAAATTGTTTTCTTATAGATACACAGTCAATTGCTCAGTCAATATTCTTCTGTACGAGCTATTCGTGACAGGCCGATGTAAAAACCGAGGCAGCTCCTTTTAATGCCATAGCTTAGTAACGGATGTACGCGGACAGTCGTTCTTTTGCTCTTGTCACTAGCGTGTTTTCAATGAAACTTAGAACCGAGTCAATCTGTATTCGTACCTTCCGTTAAAGGGACCGAGCACTACTTTAGATGAAGAACTTAGCCATCTGTCGCGTTGCGCGGAACAAAAAGCCGTTGCAGTTGCTCCTTTGACCGTCATCGAGTTTTTCCGCGTAGTAGAGCCGCGCAGTTTTTCCTTACTCTCGAACCATATTCGATCGAACGAGTTCGTCTCGTTTCTTCCGCGCATTAGCCTTTTCCGCGACTACGCGCTTTTTCTCGCGACGTCGGAGCCACTTCATTGATTATACAAACAAGCCCACCCGTCTTCTCTCTGGTCGCATTCGATTCGCACGTTCACGAATCGGCTTTCGCAGAACATCTGCACCTATTTATCGGCGTGTTATCGAGCACGCGATCGATTAATTGATGAATGGAAAAATCACGTTGACCGACCGACAGACGGTGTCGACTTGCAAGTCCTCCCTGTGCAATCTACCGGCCCGCTATCGTTACCTGTTATTACCGTCTTCGACAGATAGAAACGGAAATTAAGGCGCGACAGGTAGACTCTTCTGTCAGGGACATGATATATGTTGCCCGACGTGTCATACTTCTTGATAATATGCAAGGTGTTCGAGATAAATGTCCCTGTGTTTTATAAATGGATATAGGAAAACGACGTGCATAAATTTAGTTCTGAAGAAATGTTATCGAGCAGATAAGAGTATCTACAATTTATAATACCAGCGTTGTAAAATATAATAATATGTGGTTATAAAAATTGCGAATACGAGATCTGAATTGTATTACAATAACAAAACGATTCTGTTTTTTATTCTTTCTTTTAAATGATGAATAAAGACGAGGGTGACTCGGTGGCTTTTTTCTCGGACGACGAAATCGGTCTAATTGGTATTCGTACGAGCAAAGGGTGCGATGAAAAAAATATCATAACGACGATCGGTTCTTCTTATTCGCGTCTTCGGGACCGATAGTTGCCACCTGTCTTCTTCTGTTCTCGCGCGGCGCCGCAGTGCGCGTTTGCTTCTCTGCCCCCGGGACACGAACAGGCAGAAAACATTGCGATAAAAGCGCCGCGCCAAATATGGTCCGACCGGCCCGTCCGGGACATAAAGCTTGTTTTGAAGAATCATTAGAGGCGAAATAAAATGCCGGTATACGCTACCGTGTCCGGTTCGAACCACGCCACGTATATAGCCTTATGGCATCGGTGTCTTCCACGGTTGCTCGGGGGACGAGCTGTTCCTTGTCGGCGCGGACACCAAGTAAATGCGACATCCGGTACCCGATATGACTCACAATTTCATCGTCGTATCGGTGAAATTAATCATCGATTTCCATTCCGGTGGCATCTCAAACTAACTGTCGTTCGGAATTTTCTTAAAAGTTATCACAAAATACGACTTTTATGTCTGAAATCAAATTTAATTCCAGAATTTTATTTAACATTTATGTATATTAAAGTAACAATTCCTGATTTAACTTGATACACACTTTGTTTATAGGAATTCTCTTTGCAAAATATTGGAAAAAACTATACAATTTTTTTCTATCTCGAATAATTCAATTATTTCGTCTTAACGATTGGAATTTGAAGGAAATTGCATAGGATCTTTTTCGTACTTGACAATTACAACTACTACCAGTTATGGAGGCTCTTTGTTTTTGATATTAAAAAATATCACAAAACCGTGAACGCGGTAATAAAACTTGGAAAGAGATTGACGTTCGCACCTGTTGTTTTTTCGACGAGCCCGTAAACGAGCGCGAAGGGGAATGGGCCCGGCGTTGTTTCTGGTCAGACGACGAGGCGAGGCGAAACCGAAGCTCATTGTTTCGTGGCGTCGTTCACGGCGACGAAAAATCATTTGATCGCGCCATAAAATCGCGTTGGCATTTATTGCGGCCGCGTGTTGCCCTCGCCACGCTCCGTACTCCATTTGTAAAACAAATACGTACTCGTTTCTCGGTCTCGTTGCCGCCTCTCGCCTCGCCGGCTCGTTGTCCCCCGTCGATGTCCCTTTCACAAACGGCAAACCGCAAAAATCGACAGGATATACGGTCCCGATCGTCAACAAATCGTACAATCGACCCTTTCTCAGAGGAGAGAAACTCTTCCACTCGCACGAAGACGTCGCGTCTTTCCTATTGGAAAACTCCATCGTGTAAGAGGAAACGCTTACATAAAATTGCTGCGTGCAAACAGCTTAATAAGCGATTGGCTGACGGACTTAACAACAGGTAATATCGAATGGCTTCAGCCAGTCAGAGTCTGATTACTCAATTTGTGAAGCGATCAGGCGTCAAACAATAGGCACGAATTCGAATTCCAATCTGTATAACAATCCGTTTATTCGATTCCTCTGGTAATTGAATGATCATGCAAAAATGAACGATCTTTGATCTTGGGAGGTGTTGTTCCACGGTCGTGATCGAGGGGAACGTGTTCATTTGCAGCTGGCCGGCGTGTTAACACGGATTTTCACGATCTACATTATTCAAAATCACAAGTAGATCCCTTCCTCTTCTCTAGTTTTTTTTCCCCCGAGCGTTTGACGCTGGATACCAGCCCACTCTCGGTACCAGTTCCCAGCACGAGGCGGCCATTTATTATCGGAGACAAAGGTTACGCTCGCAGCCCGACAATGGTTGTAGGTGCGCGTTTCCAATGGCCGTCGAAGACAATGCCCGAAGTCGGCTTAATGTCAGAAGGGCGACCGATGCATAATTTATTAAGTCGTTTTAGCGCCGCGGCTTCTGCTCTCTGTCCTTACATTCTTCTACGAGCCGATCTCTTATTAGAAATTAATCGTCCCTCTCGTCGCGTTTCGTCGTTTCCTATCCTCGTTCAAATTGATTAAGCGGTTGTAATTATTGTAAAACAGCTGTGAAGGAATACTATTATATATAATTGTATTTAATTTACTGCATGAATTATTAGAATCATTCAATCGAGATATTCTCTAGTGGTTACCAATTTGAAATGTTTATCAGGTTTTTTGGTAGAGCATTCGTTCTGAGATTTATGAACGGGACTCATTGGGGATTCGTGTCGCGAAAGAAGAGATTCAAGAACTTGGTAAATACGTTGAATTCCTATGAAAGCCGGGAAGGAAATTAATTAACGGCGCGAATCATCGAGTCGACCGGGGCAAAATCGACTGGCAGCCGATAAATGTCCCCCCGGGGAGATGGAAAAAATTGGCACGGAACAAACGGGTGGAAATCAGTCAGTGCCGCGGGTTTTTTTTTTCCAGGCGCTACGCGAAAGGATACCGAAACGGGGAACGGGTCGGTCGCGAAACTCGCGCGAGGCACCGCAAATTAATTAACGTGGTCACAATTAACAGTAATGAATGGGAATGTTTCAACTGCCTCTGTTTTTAAGAATCCGGCTTCTGCCGGGCACGTTCCTTAATCGTAATTAACCGACTGCGAAAGTAATTAAGATCGAGGACCGTCGCCACCGAGTGTAGAAATGAAGAAAAGGTTCGGGTCGTGACAAAAAAAAAGGGGGATGGAAAAAAATGAATAAGACTCGGCCGTCCGCGCAGGAACCCTATGTAATTAAGGTGTCTTAATTGGACGCTTTCGCCTGCCAATTATCTTCGTGATTCCCTCGAGGAATAGCGCGCCCGTTAACCCCATCGGCGTAACTGGGTCATCTCTCGTTCGATGAATAACCAATGAATAGAGTTCTAGGTATTATATTGTGCGGATGATGATCGATACGTACCTGAGTCTCGTATCACCTCTCACTTTCGGTCGGACGAGGATTACGACATCGGGACGCGCATTGAATTAAATTAGAATTAATCACGCGCGTCATTAATCTGCGGAATACAGCAGTTGTTGCAATTGAAATTCTAAGACGAACGCCGCTGCGGTCGAAGATTAATTTTCTTCAGATAAGAAAGCCGGTAGTTCCGCGTTGATGTCACCACACCTAACGTGTGCCCAGGTTGAAAGGGCAATTTACGCCGCGTCGGTGACTCTGTGACATTTTACGTTTAAGTAGCTGCGTGGCAGGGAGCGAAGTCGACAATAAAATGTGGGTGGCACGGTCGACGGTATTTACCGGCCGCGTTTATAACTATCAGATAAATTTAACCTACCCGCAATTACATCACCGCACGAAGATACACGCGCTTCGCCCGTCCCGGGGCTCATAAAACACGCCTGTTAATCGTTGTATTCGCTCTTTTCGGGTCGAGTTCCGCCTTAATTGCGAGGGGTTGGCCGTCAATCTGAACGAAACCAGCTGATATACTTCGCGCTTCGCTGCCAAGCATTCCTCTGCCGTGAAAAAGTTCAAGTTAACGACAATGAAAAATTCTTTTCGATTTTCTATCGGATCTTCGTTAAACGACGAGAGCTCGAGTTCGACTGTCTTGTTTACTCGCGTACGCGTTTGATGTCAATGGTTCTGGCATAGTTCCGCCTACGAATTTTTATGAACCGTGCAGCGGTTATCGTCGAACGTATCTCATCCTGGGAGGATCCTCTTCTTCTCTGGCTACTATCACCCGCATCTGTTTCTCTGAGCGGCGAACAAGAAGAGGGCGGAGGTCGCGAGGAAACGATATTTTTGGTGAAACGAGAGCCGTCATCGCGATTACCAGCCGGGTCGTTCAACCTTTCGCGTACGTGGGACGAAGATGACACGAGCAGGAACGACGATTCGCACGTCTAAACCGTTCTGCCTCTCTAATTAAACGATAAACGATGGCACCTGGCGAGCGGAAGTACCGTGGATCCGGTGGCGGAGGCAGCCACCGCGAGTCCAAGATAAATCCTCCCGAAGATTTGCATTCTTTTATTGCGCCGGACACGGTAGACAAAGCGGAGAACGTATCGACCAGAAGATTTCATTACGCGTCAGAGTTATGGCTTCCTTCCTCGCTCAAAATCCTTTTCTCTTTTTGTCAATGATCTTATCGTTTTACCTAACTGGTATCTCATTTGCCTCGGTAATGCGTGCCCGATCGCTCTTGCCATTATATCGCAATTAATATACGCACGGTCTGCTCTGTCCTTCCGTTATCCTCGTGTTCTATGATATCTTGCGAAATTATGACAGTACACTTCACGTTTCGTTAGTCGCGTTCTTAATTGCGTCTTCTCGCGTCTTCCGCTTCCACAAACGAATCTCCGGACGGTCCTTTGCATACGATGGTTATCTGGATTCATTACCGCCTATAAAATACGAGATTAATTGCCGCGATAGTTTTTTCTTTTTCGTTACCGAACCACCGGACACACTGTTGTCTTCGTGCCCCTGTTCATTGTTCGCGAGGGCCACCGTGATGAGATATCGAATCGGGGAATATGACTGTCTGCATTATGTGCCGTATGCTGTTTGATTCAACAACATGATCTCTTTTAGATAAATACTTGCCAGCTACTACAATAGATTATGAATTGACTGCCGCTTTTTATGCAAAATAAAACATTTGTAAAAATAACTCGTTTGCATCGTACATTGTCATATAATTAAATGCGTGCATTAATTGTTGTAATGCCTAATACAATATTTGATAAAATGTTGTATATAATAGGGTTAAAAATAATTATGTGCGCTTCACTTCTGACGTGTCTTTGAGTATAGCATAAGAGCTGCGGTCTGATCAGAAATGTTTACTAAAAACAATTATTCATATTATTTTTAAGTTATTTTAAGACTATTTTTTCCCCATTTAAACTGATTGGTGTCTCGTGTTCATCCAGGATGTCTTTCGTTCGGTGCACCTGCCTTTTAGGATCTTATTTCATGGTATCAGATCGTCTTGGCTCACCGCCAATAATTAACTGTTAATATATTGAATAGAGGCGTGCGCGCGGTGCAGATAGAAATCGTAGATCGGGCCCGACAATATTTCTCGATATGATCGCAGGGAAAAATGAAACTCGTAAATATTTCAGAAAAATGCACTGCGAATGTCCGAAACAGGCCCTATAGATTCTTGTCCAGCCTTTGTATAATTAGTTGTCTTCCAGTAAATTGGCAATTATCGGTGTAATGAACAAGGATCAGTTAGATGCACTATCATTATAAAATATTTAATCACTCGACGACTTGTTTTTCTTTTTAATGAAAGAAGTTAATAGATTTGATCTGACAATTATATTTCAGTAAGTAGAGTTATGAACGAGAATCTGTGAGATACCATATCGTTGTAAAATTTAATCGTCAATTAAAATGAACACTTGTTTTTATTAACCAAAAGGGTTGATTAATTTGACGGGACATTGTTCTGAGAGTTCTATTATACTAAATAGATCGAAAGTACCTAAGGGCTGGAATAATTTATAATCAGCTAAGAGGGCTGAAGCATCGATTTTTGCATAGATCGGAGGAGAGGTAGAGGATAAGAGTGGTGGAAGGAAACGGCAATTTCTCTCGGGGGGGATCTAATATACCATAATAGATATCCTATCAGCTGATTGGGGTGTTTCACGGTTGCTAGCACAACCCTAAATGCCGCCGCCGCGGCCCTGCCTCTTGGAGAACCCGAAGAAGTCGGCGGACGCGTACTATTACAGGGGCGCGCATCGTTTTACTGTGCAGTAAATGCAGGTATAAGGCGCGACTTTTAAATTCACTTAGGCCGCGCGGAATTAAAACGCGAACTTTATTGCGGCCGACCGGTTCTTTCTGTCTTGCATCTTCTCCGTTTAGCCCGCGGCTGGAAGTGGATGGGGTCAGTCAAGGATGGTAGCCAGGATGGTAGGAAAAAAAAAGACGAAGTACGGCTTCCGCGGTTTGGTATGATTTGAGTCATTCGATTAAACGATAATGGACACAACGTGGCCGTGTTCCTGCGTGTAATTTACTGTGTCAGCTCGCGATAATAATTTCTTGCGACGTAATAGTTATTTTACGCGAATTTCACGCTCGAGTTTAACGCAAATTAAATGATATCACGCGGCAGTCCCCGCGGTTATTGTTTGTTCGAACATTTTGCGCAACGTTCA